AAAAATTTTTAACCAAATTCTTATTATTCTTTGTTTTTCTAAGAACATACTTATTTCTCTTCACGTGTTAAGGTCTTATAAATCCTTTGATTTCAAATATTTGGGTTTGAGCGTTGCTGGTGAAGGTATAATATATCCAGAAAAAGCGCTTCGGTCGCATGAAATTAATACTGTGTTCTTCCCATCCATTGGTAAATGACCTAGTTCGATAATTACAACACATATAGGTGAAAATTTACCAACTTAGAGTACAAATTTAAAGTAAAATATTATGAACTAATACAATGTCTTTGGCATGATGGAAGTCTCATGTACCTCAAAATCATACTTCAAAATAGATCCAACAAAACTACCAAACATTTCAGAAATAAAAAATATACCAGCATTATGAAACTGCTCTGCTTAAATGGACTGTAACTATTTGTCATTTGAATTAGAAGCCTTAGATTTTGACTTTTGATTTTGATATTTAGGGATTTTGACATATGCCATATTTACTTAGAATGAAGATTTACAGAAGATTCACGTGAATAAAAATGGAACTTATTTATGTTAATTTCACAATTAATGTGAAAAATAAAACATTTACCTACAACATAGGAAAGTACATTTAAAGAAAACATTTTGTTGTTGCCAGTGATGATGTATTTATGAATAATAACCAGTATGACATCTGGTGGCGACACTAACTACTAGATATGACTTGTGAATCACGTGACGGGTGGTACATATATAGAAGGATAATTAAGTTTACACTGTCGACTGGCTTTGTCTCACTCGGTTTGAGTTCATGAGATTTCGAATGTAATCACATACGCCTTTGTCTACTGATGTCTGTAATTTTGAAAACTGAAGTGATATCGTTATACTACCATCATGTTTTGGAAAACAAATCATTCTAATTTCCGATGTTCCTCTTTAAGACGAACTGAAGTTAAACTCGTTATTTTTATGTCAAAAAATAATTTAATTGACGAAAATTGCTTTTGAAGACCTCAACACTTGAAGAAGTTATTGAGAACTATTTACTATTCCAGTCCATCTTTGTGAAATATAAATCCTTACATCAGTAATTAACACTCCACAGCTGATACCTGCAGTCCATTAATTAGCAAATTATTTATAGGTACTTTACTCAAAATAACGTGGGCTCATTTTGGGGAAAGACCTCATGCAATTCCAAAATCATTTCAAGAAAAGTGAATTTGATGAGAGTCCCTCTTCTGTTATATCTTAGACCTTATATATTTATTAAATGTCTTTCAAACTTGTTTGTTTGTTTGTTAATGCGCTTGTCTTTTGTAGTCTGTTTTTCCTTACTTCTTTTCCTTATTGTTGCTAATATACCTTCGACATTTCAGTACCCATTGTCTTCACTTCCTAACACTTGAACCTTTATCATAAGACAAGATAACTTTATTGAAATATGAATACATCAATAACATATAAGTAGTATGGGACAGTATATAAACAGGAAGCAAAAACCGTAGATTCCAAAACAAACATTTATTTTGTACAATCTAACTTGCTAGAACGCCAGTTTGGTTGAACTGGTCATAAAGATGTAATTTCAGAACATCATATGAAATATCTACATTTTCTTGATTATATCATTAAGAATTGAATAAGATCAAATAACAATCTTCGAAGATTTGACGCCCAGTTTTATTTAACATTTTTCAGTATCATTTACTAACAGAGAAGGTATCTTAGTATCAATTTTGAGGAAATATTTTAATATTCTTTGTTTTCTAAGAACATACATATTATTGTATTCGCGTGTTTAGGTCTTATACATCCTTGGCTTTCAAATGTTTGGGTTTGTACTTTCAGAATGAAGGTATAATATTTCCAGAAAAAAAGCGCTTCGGTCACAAGAAATTAATAGTTCTTTTCATCCACTGGTGAATAACCTTGTTCGCTAATAACAACACATATAGGTGTAGTTTAACCAAATTAAAGTACAAATCTACCAAATCTATTATTAACTAATTCAATGTCTTTGGCATGATAAAAACCCCATTCCTCAAAACCATAATTCAAGGTAGATCCAACGACACTATCAAACATTTCAGAAATAAAACAAACATTTTGAAACTTTTCTGCTAATATGGATTGTAAGTATTTGTAATTTTAATTGGAAGCCATACAATTTCGACACATGCCAGATTAAGTTACAATGAAGATTCACGTGAATAGAAATAGCACTAATTTATGTTTATTTCATATCTAAATGTGAAAAATAATAAAGTTGCCTGTAATATGGAAAAGTGCGTTTTATTAAGACCTTGCTTTAAACAGAAAATTCACTCGGAGAAAATCGTTTTGATTTGACTTTCTTATTCTGGGACTATTATAACAAAATATTAGGTCCAATATTTAATGAAACCTTTTAATCATGGTGATATTCAAATAATCAAATAATCCACCAAGTGAGCTAATATCAGTTATAAAGTAAAGGTGAATAATAACCAGTATGTCATCTGGTGGCGCCACTGACTTAGGAATCAAGTGACGGTTGATACATACATATAAGAATGCTTACACTGTCGACGTGTCGGATATCATTCAATTTTTAGTTCATGAGGTTCTGATTGCTTTTACTGACACTTTAGTCTATTGGTGTCATTTTAATTAATTGAATTGATACCGTTATACTACCTCTTTTTTCGGGAAAACAAATTATTTTAACTTCCGAGGTTCCTCCTTAAACGATTTTCAGTTGAAATCGTTACATTCATGCGAAAAAAGAATTCACTTGACGAAAATTGCCCTTGAAGACCTTAACACTTGAGTTGGCTGAAACATGATTAGTAGTTTATGCATAAAAGTAAAATGCATGAAAGCCCTAAAGTATAATTTTCGTAAGGTTTTTGAAAACCTAATAAAAAGACAATAAAGTGCATTCAAAAACTATTTATACATATTATATGCACATGGCTAAATATAAAGTATATTTTAATATTTAAACCAAACAATAAAAAATTAAAATCATAAAATTCAGCTCACTGATCAACAAAAGTTTTAAAAATAATATATCTTGCATAATACATTAGGTAAGTTTTGTAAGTTTTTATCAAACATAAATTTTCTAAATATATTTAACTTATTATAACTTTTTTAGATCATGATGTGATAAGTGCTAGATTTATAAATAGTAGTGTCATATTAGTGTCATATTAAAAATAAATCACAGTAGATATTTATATACATAAAAAAGCTGAATAAAAGCAAGTGATTGCGAACTGCTTACTATTCCAGTACATTTTTTTATACATCTCAGTTAGATTTTATTGCTCGCACAAGTCAACAACACTCCATAGCTGATACCTACTGTATACTAATTAGCCTAACTTATTGTTACTCAATTTACTTAAAATGACGTGAGATCATTAGGGGGGGGGGGACTTCATCCAATTCCAAAAACAATTCCAAAAAAGTGAATATCATGATAATCCTTCTTCTATTATAACTAATACCTTTTTTATAATTGACATTCAGCTACAAATTAGTATGCCTTACATTTACCTTGAATGTGTCTACACATCTTGTTCCTTATTGATGATATACGTCATACCCCCACTTTTTCTGACCACCAATAAACTAAATTATGCAAGTCATTTAAAAGTGATTAGTTGACAACACCTACGTTATTATGATATAAAATGTAAAAAATGGCAGATCCGTTCCATTGCTTCCTCAACATTACCAATACAACTCATGAATTTTTATATATCAAAGGATATTAATACCGACTAAACAATTAATATTTTAAGTAAAGCGAAACATAATGCACTGTAAAATCAAATCACAGAAGATTGTTAAAGCGTCTTATAAACTGACTCATTGACAGAAAATCAACAACATGTAACAAGATTCTTTAAGGTTTAACTACATCACCGGAATTAATTCCTGCCATTATACTAAGTCGACAGAAACCAGGAAGAGGCCGAGAACAAAGGTTCTAATACATCTTTTATTTAAATTTTATAACATGTAGTGAAAAAAATACTGACATTCGATATAAACAGTCTGTTTTACCATATCAAAGAAATTGTGAAGGAAAGACCAAGACAAACGTTGATAATAGATATAACGAATAATTATATAGCGAACTTTAATTTTACCATGGAATCGGATTTTTTTAGAATTTAGAATTTCTCTGACATTGTTAAGATATTCTTAGCCTCAAAGGATATTATTCATCCGTTTTTTAACTTATAGTTTGATAATGAAATATATACAATTCGTCATAAACAATGCGAAGAAGGATGATATCAAAGTGCATCGTTTTATTTTTTTCAAATTTTGTTGATTAAGTTTAAACGGTCCAGTTTTATAAAAGTACATTTAAAAATTAAATTGGATAGGAACTACCTAATTCATCTTGTAGTAAATTGGCAAAAAAAATCTTTTCTGTTACTGTTCGATACGTATACGTTTACATTTATGTAAAAAAAAAGAAAACTACTTTTTTATAACTTAATTGTCCTTTTATGTACAATTAGAGACCTTGTATATGGTATCCGTTTCCTCTCAGATAATACACGATATGCACTAACCTGTATGAACACTTTTAAACTTATTTCTACCAACATTCAATGAATATATATTACGCAACAAACCATTGAGTCTTGTATACCCTGATTTATATATATAAGTCCGTATACAAATATCAATGAGAAGAGATATATATGCTCTGATTTGATATTGTATAAGACCGTATAAAAATATCAACGAGAGGAGATTTAGGGTATAAACGGGTGAGTCTTCAACCTAAAACACAATAACTCAAGAACAGTCATACGATCTTCAACAAAAGACACGTGTCTCAGCAATCTTTAAACACAATAAAATCAAAACAGTCATACGATTTTCAACAATAGACACGTGTCACATCAACCTTTAAACATAATCAAACCAGAAAATACATACAAACACGTGTCTACACGATATATCAAAACTAAATCTTAAAGCGCTGAAAAGTTCTGAATACATACATACATACAGAGACTCCAAAAGATATGTCGTCATCACCTAATTCTTCAAAACAACCAACAAAAAAACACACAGAAACTGCACGATTGAATTTGTATTGCGCCTTCAAGGCCTAGTGTTTCAACTGATGTTTCTGTCTACAACACAAATGTCCATTAGGAACAATAGCTCATCAGCGTATACGGTCATAATGATATAACAGGCATAATCAATTACTGGAACGTGACAGTGGTTTACAATTGTGAAATAATGATTTGGGTAATTTGGTAATAATATTGTACGCGATGAATTGATTTCCCGTGGCGTCATGTGGATGTTTATTTATCAATATGTCCCTTTGTTTTTACTTCTAAGTTCTTTTAATGTTTCATACTTTTGAAGAAAGAAATTCGAGTTCAATACACAAACGTTCTTGTGACCTCCGCCTATATCAAGATTTTAAATCTGAGTTACTTAAATGAAATATGCAGATTGTCATAGCACATATACTCGGCTTTATATCTAAGTAACAAGAGTAAAATTATTTATCAAAATGTTCCTTTGTTTTTACGTTTAAGTTGTGTTATCATTTAATGATTCATACTTTTGATGAAAGAAAATACGAGTTAAATACATAAAACTTCTTGTGACCACCGCCTATATCGAGATTTTGAATCTAAATTACTAAAATAAGAATATGCAGATTGTCATCGCACATATATTGGGCTTTGTGTCCAAGTAATAACACTAAAATTAAAATGTACAATTACTCGGTTTCAATAAATATATTACAAAATGTAGAATAGATACCGCCTCTTTGTGGTATATTTAGACGATGGCATTGTTTAGTACGAATAATGCAAGGGGAAATGTTTAGAAATACAGTATATTATATTTTAATTAAAATGTGAATTTGTACCCGGATTTTTATCAACTATAGAATAATTATTTGACTTAGTTATTTCCATTTATTTCGTGGGTGCAATCGTATTTGGTTCTTCAAAATAAGAAAACCTAATGTTAGTTAAATGTCAACGTCAAAATAATTTCCAAAAGTCAAATAAGTATGGAATGGCAAAGATTATAGAAACACCGAACAAACGACAACAGCGTAAATATGAGCAACGTACTATTATATGTTACTTTGAAGCTACAATCTTGATTTTTCGATAACTGCAGTTTTTCAAATTTTTTATTTATAAAGTGCTATTGGTAACTCCGTTTAGACCAATAGAAGACAGAACTACACATTTCGAAACTAATTATGGATACTTTGTTTGAAAATGTGTAGTGTATAGTGTTAGCCATCAGTAGTCATTACTACTAGTATAAGTCATTTGTATTGGTAATGTTGATAACGATGGACTTGCCAACCTCGATCTTAGTGCGTGCTTGAATGCGCCCCTGAAAGCTGACTACATAGAAAGAAAAGGCTGACACTTATGCATAAAAAATAACTGGAAAATGTAAAACTATATACAGTATACCTCAATTTGAATATTTTTTACATTTTTAGCAAAACTTTGAATTTTTATAAAATTTGTTTACCAATAAAAAAGATTTTAACCGCGTTTACTTAATTTCAATCGCTCATTATTAGGTGTTATTTATATTTTAACGTCTAAAATTTGTAAACGTACTTGTTCGTGGTATTTAAAAAACGATTTACGTTTTACTTAGTATGATTATGGACGTAAAGCAAACGATGATATTTTCTCAAATGCGTCTATCAAATTAAAGGATATTTATTACACCCAAGACAAAAAGCTGGACCTAGAGGTAACATGAAAAAATCAAAGAATTAAGATAACTTCTTGCCCTCCAAAAGAATAAACTGAAGTAATAACTCCCTCAGTTTGGATAGTGCAATAATATCTTCTCATTTTAAGCCTTACATTTAATCAAGCTTCAAGTTATAGATTTATACAGACATTCATTCTTTCAAAATATTTTTTACTACAGTTGGAATGTATTGCTGCAAACACATGATATTCATTCTTAACAATTGTATGATTGGTTGTAAATAGAAATGTTTGTATGGAATTTAATCCTGACAATTAGTAATCAATGTTAGATAGCTCATCCTCTGACCGATTTACAAGCATGATAGATTCTAATCTATCTAATCGCTACTTTTTATGTACTTGAAACCAAGTTATTCAATCACTTTGTGTCATGTCCTGTTTTATGCTCGACTCCGCAAATGATATCCGACCTTGCAGTTCCAATGACTTCTATTGGCCCATCTCCAACCCGAATACAAGAGGTTTACGTCACAAATAGCGAATTCATTTCATACCTTGATATTTATCTTGATTTTAGCGGAAACGATTATTGATCAAATAAAGTTTGTTCAAGTCATTGTTGTCGTGCTAAGGTCAACATTTCAGGAACTAACCACTTGATCCACAATTAAGACTAACATTACAGTTTTAAAGGCAAAACCTTATCGTTTGATTTAAAGTCACAATACAAACCTGTTGTTATACATGAATGTTTTATGTCCTAGTCTCATGAGTATTGTCAATAAAAAGTTCCTTTTCTAGAAATTTGTTGATCTATTAGCTTAGACAGGATTAATGTCCAATCAGGATTCTAATCTCAATTTCATTGTTATAGTATCTCATCTCGGAACTACATGACAGAGTGTGTTGTAGAAAATGGAGGTGTAAAATTTGTCCATGTAAATAGAGGCAAATATATATCATTCACATTGTAAATTCCAAACTGAAATGATTTGTAATGTTCTACACCAATTGCCAGCAATCAAATATTCAAGTCAATTTGCATGATCATTTCTTTTCCACTTATATGCAACAGTTTGCACAAACACATTTTAGAAGAATCTTGGCATTAAAATAATTTAAAGGATATGAATAAAACTTCAAAATACTAAGGATGTTCTACCCCCAGGAATAGAATACATTGACTGCATTTGGCAAATTCTTTCGGAATGTTTGGTCTTCGCTGCTTTTCAACTTCGTACGTTATTTGGCCTTTTAAACTTTTTTGATTCGAGCGTCACGTCTTTGTAGGCAAAATTGGCGTTTAGCGTACATAATTATAAGCCTGGTATCATTGGTGAAATTGTTTTCCTCATAACATAATTTATTGATGCCTGTTGTTGTCTAGGACGTTGTGCACAGTGTCGTTATTGTTGTTGTTAATGTTGCAACGGTTTTGTGTTCGCATCCAACTAAGAGAATAAGATTATTTTGAAAGTGCATAAATGAAGTTCTTACATATACTGTCATACCAAATCCACCCTTCATTTTAGTCAATCCATCGTGCAGAACCTTCTTATTTAATAAAAATCACGTAAAGAAAACAACCAATCAATCAAACAAATAATCGTAATTTGTAAGAATAAGTAATCTGCACAATCTGACTGTAACAACTTATTACAATCTCAACGTCTCTATTCACAAAATTGTATATTTTGTCTGTACATGTAAAGATAGTCAAATAGTTATTCTTCGTATCGTAAATTAATATTATATGTTATAACTTTGTATCAAATAGTCATACTTAGTAGTGAACTTATCATATATGTTATCAACTAGTCATATTTCGTCATGAAATTAATAAATGTCATATGTAGTAATGGTTTAATTATGTGTTGTAACAATTATGAGACTTAGTAATGTTTAGAAATATTTTATATCAAACAGTCATTAATATAGTAATGAATTAATGATTATGTTGTATCAAATATTCATACTTAGTAATGAATTAATGATATGGGTATCAAATAGCCATACTTAGTCATGAATACTTAGATAATATGGTGTATCAAAAGCCATACTTAGTATTGACATAATGATATGGTGTATCAAATAGCCATACTTAGTAATGAATTGCTGATATGGTGTATCAAATAGCCATACGACGTATGAATAAATGATACTGTATCAAATAGTCATACTAAGAAATGAATTTATGGTGAGTTGTATCAAACAGTTATTCTTAGTAATTAACAAATAATGTGTTGTATCAAATTGTGACACTTACAAATGTAGTAATAAATTCTGGTCTTTTATAGATTACTATGCGGTACGGGGTTTTCACATACTTTTAAAGGCCGTACGGTGACCTATAGTTGCTAACTTCATTGTCAGAGGGTCTCTGACGGAGACTTGTCTCGCTGACAATCATACCTCATCTTTTCTATATAAACGATATATTGTATGTAACGCTCATGTATACTCTTACTAATAATGGGAGAAGATGCATACAGACCGATGTTAATATAAAGATTTGGTATAACTGCCAATGAGACAACTATCCACCATAGTCCAAAGGAAACGGATTTAAGCAATTACAGGTCACTGTACAGCCTTCAGCAATGAGTCAATCAACACCGTATACTAAGCTATAAGAGACCCCATCATCTAACGAAAACACTTACGGCATGACAATACAAGAAACGGAAAACCAATATTTCAGAATTGCAACCAACGACTACTACTGCATTACAGCTTCCTTACTTGGGACAGGCCCATATAGAATGTAGCGAGGTTTAACATATTTGAGAGCGCCCAACCTTCCTATTAATTTGTTACATCACTGTTACACAACTGTCCCAGGTTAGAGGAGGGTTGGGCACCAGAAAACACGTTTAATCCCGCCACATTATATAAGTGCCTGTCCCAAGTCAGGAGCCTGTAATTGAGTAGTTGTCGTTTGTTGCCGTTTATCATATCTGTTTTTCGTTTACTAGAATTATTTTTGTTATAGATTGTTGTTCTGTTGCACCATTGCCCCAGGTTAGTGGAGAGTTTGGCGCACGCTAAAATGGTTTAACACCGCCACATTCTGTGTGTACCTGTTTGTAGTTCAGTGGTTGTCGTTTGTTGCGGCATATCACATTTGTTTTTTTGCTTATTGTTTTGTACATAAATCAGGCCGTTATAATGTTTTTTGTTTTCCGTTTTAATTGTTTTACATTTGTCATTTCGGGTCCTCTTAGAGCTTACTGTGCGGAATTGGATTTTGCTCATTAATGAAGGCAGTACGATGACCATACGGTGACCTATGGTTTTTAACCTCTACTTCATTTGGTCTCTGTTGGAGAGTTGTCTCATTGGCAATTATACCACATCTTCTATTTCTTTTTGCGTTCCAGTAGGTACGCCAGATTTGCGTTTCGTCTACATAAGACTCATCAGTAAGGTGCATGACCTTATTGGATAGCAGTGTTGTTTAGATTGACGAGTCTGTATATAAGGGGCAAAAAATGGGTAGCATAATTGCGTTCGAATTCTTGTATTTATTTGTTAAACTTTATATATGTTTATTTAAATATCCTTGTGTTAAATATAATTGTGTATAATATGAATTAAACCCGTCTTAAGGTATAATTTGTGAACTGCATTGCTTAGCCTTGAATGATTAACGTCTGTAATTTGTTGTCTAGTACTATAACAGTGCCTGTAATTTAAAGAATTCTCCCTGTGCATATTTCAGTTCATTAAGTGTCATTTTTAAGAATATGTTTTCTTTATTTCATGATGTTATGAATTTGTCATTTTGTACGACTACTAATGATATTATACATAGTTTGTCTTCATACCTTCGTTTCTAATCACTGTGATTTTTAAATAAGTACTTTTTGATGAAATAATTTTTTTTTTTTTTATATATTTAACTTGTATCAGAACATTTGTTTCATTTACGATATATAAGGATATATTACACTGTGTTCACTGAACTCTAATTAGCGGTTAATTTCATTAATCCTTATTACATATTAATCACGTCTCTCATACAAATAATTGTTTACCCTTCATTTTTAAAATCAAATGTTGGAGAAACGTGAAAACATTTATTGGTTACACGGGTAGTAACCTCGTCATATCGAAAAGCGTTTAGTACA